CAGACGAGGGTGTGGACATCTTTCTACCATACGATTATACCAGTTTATCCTCCCTTCAGAGGTGTACATGAGTGCCTGTTTTTCTATAGCTTTACTAACATTGTGTGTTACCAAACTTGAATTTCTGCTGGACTGATGGGTTGAAAGAAATGATTATACCAGTTTATCCTCCCTTCAGAGGTGTACATGAGTGCCTGTTTTTCTATAGCTTTACTAACATTGTGTGAATTTTTGCTGGACTGATGGGTTAAAAGAAATGTAGCTGTGATTTGCAATTTTTAAGTGATAAAGGAAATAAAGTATCTTTCCATTTGTGTGAGTCTGTTGCTTTTCTAAAAAGCCCTGAAACCACAAAGTTCTTACTTGTAATATTTGGTTTCTCTTAGTTTTGTTTTGTTTTTCCTTTTATAGACATCACCGGTCATCTTTTACTGCATTATTTTCAGATTTATCCTTTCAGCTGCTCTGTGATAGTCTATCCATGGAACAGCCCCCTGGTTTGCTTAACCATTCCTTAGCCTTTGCACAGTTATGTCAGTCAGTCTATAAACAGGTTTTGGGAATGAAGCCCAGTTAAAATGTGTGGGCTGGAGCTAGTTGGTGATATGATGGTTAAGGTGGCTAGATCCCACATGGCCAAGTGCAAGGTGTGAGTCCCGGACCCTCCGGCTTGAAAAGCATGCCAGGTATGTGTGCAGTGTGCCCAAAATCCCGAGAGGAGACTGGAAGAGAAGGGATTGTGGTGTGGTATTTCCCTTGGGACGTGCTTTCCCATTTCTCTGTCTCTCCAGCAAGCATACATGCCCTCCAACAAATTTAAATAAACAGCAATAAATAAACAGAATGTTGGGCTGCCTGTTCACATGGGCATACCCAATGCAATGTTTTATGCACCTACCAGCATGTTAGGATCCTGTGTTTTAAGACACCTAAATTCTTGCATGGAGCAGTTGTGACCATAAAGCCTTTTGGAATATCAACCTTTCTCCCAAGGCTCACATGCCCAGCATACTCAGGAAGTTCTCTGTACTTGAACTGGGCACCTTTCCATGTGGGACAGCACAGTGTCACGTTTTATTGCTGTGCCACCGGCCCCGATTTCTGTTAAACTTGAGCAGCAAATCAGAATTAACCTAACCTCTGACAGTTATTGAGTAATAATTTATCATTTTTAGATAAATCAGGTATTCTTCTTCAACATCTGGTATTGTAAAAGAGCTAGAATTTGTAGTCCGAGGGTCCTGTCTTTGTCACTTTCAAGGTGGAGGTTTTAGACTCCACCACTCACCCTTACCCCACCAAGTGTCTCACATGTGCTGTTAGGGAGCATTCGAGTGGTGTGCTCCCATTTACTCCTGCGGGAATATAGCAGAGTGTGACGGTGTGACGTGCTGTGATGGGATTGGCCTTGACCCTTGTTCCTTAGCTGTACCTGGCCTGGGGTGGGTTTTTTTTTTTTTAAATCACCCCCCAGAGGGGATGGCCACGCCGCAATCCCTTCTCCTCCATTCACCTCTTGGGATCTTGGGCGCACATGCACACACGCTTGGCGTGAGTTTAAGCCACCAGGTCCAGGATGCGAACCGCAGTCGACTACCTGGGAGTTCAGCGACATAGCCATTATGCTAACTGCTGGTCCCAGGCCTGGGGTCCTTTAACTTGTAATATCCTGCCCTTGGTGATACTGACCATCTGTACTCAGGCGCTGTCTCTGCCCGTGTGGAGGTGCATGTGAGCTTTTCGCTGCTTCATCCATATCAAACGCGCCAGTGGGAACAACACGAAGGGGAGACTTCCTGAAGGATCCAGGTTCCCCTGTCTCTCAGAGCAGGATAAATGCGTGGCCTGTGTGCTGACACCTTCGGGGCCTGTGCTTTTCTTCCCAGGGTCTAGCTGTGTCTTAGTGCTCCTCCCACAGTGCCTAGCACCTTCAGCCTAAGCATCCGTTTATCATCCCGGCTCTCTGTGTTCCAAGGCACATCGCTGGATCATGCATGGCCATCAGCCGCCCTGTGCCTGGACTGCACTTTGGGCTCTCGTGGATGTGTTAGTATCAGAAGTGGCTACTTTAATGTTTTTTTCTATTCTTAAAATAATAGACTTTTACTGAACACCTGCTTTGTGGCAAGCACTGTGCTAAATGCTTTAAATAAACTGATAACATCCAATCCACAGGAAACCCTAGGAAGTAGGACTATTGCTATCCCCATTTTACAGATGAGCAGTTGAGACACAGTGGTGTTAAGTAACTTGCCCAGGGCCACACTGCTAGTAAAAGGCAGAGTCACATTCACTTGGAGGCAGGTGGCTGCAGACAGCCTGTGCTCCCAGCCGTGAATCCTGTACTGATAGTGTCCATCTTGGTGGTGGGGGGAGCAGCTCACCATGCTGGCCAGTGACTTCTGCCCACAGCACAGGGCTGCAGGGTGGTTACTTTGGCTCACTCTTTACCCTTTGCCTCAACTCCTTCCTCCTCTTCCCTATCTTTCCCTGCCTGCCCATGTGGCAGAGGAAGACTCTCAGCCCTGTGCTTTGAGTCATGGGAATGTGCGCTCTTCAAACACAGGTGTTAATGGCTGAAATTAATTGGCAATCACAGCACCTGTTCAGAAAGCCCCTAACAGCCCTATCCCCAGTAATTACCTGTTAGGAACTTCGCAGCCACAGAATTACCACAGCTTTCTTTGAATCCTTTCATATTTTCAACTTAATGGAATGATCTCTTGGGCTGCCTGTGGGTTCAGAAAACATTCCAAATTCCACGATTTCTTCTCTAATTCAGCTCTTCTCTTTAAAAATGGTGTGTGTACTATTGATAGAAGAACTGAGATTTGGAGTTCTAAGATCCAGGTGTAAATTTTGACTTTTAACTTTCAAATGAAGAAGGTTTGAATTCATTGCTTTCCTTGCTAATCTTCAGTTTCCCCATCAATGACATGGGAATGAATGAGTTTACCTTGGAGTTTATTAAGATAAGATGAGTTAAAAACATGACAGAACCTTGTAATCTGCTGTTAGGGATTAAGTGAGATTCGATCTCAATGCTTAACTAAACGGCGTAATCTTTAAACCCCTGCAGCAGCTGAGCGTGTTCCAGTTCTCAGCCATTGCTGCTGTCTGTGCCTGGCCCGCCCCGACGTGGTTCTGCCATTGAACCGTGTGATTACTCACTTGTTCTTTTCTGAGCACCCGTATGGGTCAGCCACTTGCTTAGGAGCTGGGGAAGCGGGAATGTGTCGATCCCTGGCTTGTCCTCGGAGAGACCACTGTGAGGTGCAGGACAGACAGTTCTGGAATGGGAGCTCCCGGGTAGCCCTACAGGAAGCTGTGGAGTCCTGGGTGTTGGAAGACAGGCTTCTGACCCAGGGAGCTTCCCATTCCTAGCAGGTGAGAGCCGAGCTGATCCTGAGCTCAGGAGACAGGAGGAGAGAGTGCTCTGGTCTAGGGCAGCCGGTGAAGGTGTGAGGGAGGGCTGTAATGGGAGTGCTGCAGGCCTGCCAGGAGGGGGTGGGGGGGTGCCTGCAAGGTAGGCAGGCCCCCTTGGGACAGTGGAAGCAGAGAATGACTGTCAGATTGAGGTTTGGGGACTATTACTTTGGGGGCTGTTTGGAGGATGGGCAGGAATGAAGGAGACCAAAGGCATCCAGACAGGCTGGGGCTGCAGCTTTCCACGTCTGAGTTTTTTTCAGTTGGTTTGCTTCCACCCTGCTCTGGGAGAAGAGGCCAGAGAGACCCAGCCCCCTACCTCCGGGGAAGCCAGTTGACCAAGCTCTTGCTCTGCCAGCCCAGGTGACCCGTGGCTGTTAAGGTTCATGTTCCAGAAGGTATTTGGGAGTTCAGCCTTGGTTTCGTCTCTGCGAGGAGAAGGGAGGCCCTGGGCCGAGATGAGGTGTACAGTCTGCTTCCGGAAAGGAGGGTCAAAGAACACGAAACTCAGACAGCTCCCACCTCCATATGCAGCCCAGACGGCAGCTTGTGGTCTCCTTCAGCCTGGGACAGAGAGCTTGTCATTTCTTCCTGGTAGGCCCAGGGTGGCTGCCAATTCTCATGCACTCAGCACTGGGCCCATCAGAAATACCCCAGAACAGAACCTTTCTGCCCTCTAGCATTGAATGAAATAAGAGATTTTGCAGGAAAGAGTCACCTGTTTTCCCTTCCCTTTGTTTGAGGTCCGTGGGTTCATGTCTTTCTCTCCAGGTCCCAGAACTGCCATAGCTCCAGCTTCTTGGAGGAAAGTCCAGGCCAAGCCCAGTTCTCAGCCGCCTGCAGTGAACATTCCCGCCAGCAGGTGGCAGCAGGCGTCTGCATGGTGCCGGGGCCATGTGTGCCGTCCGCAGCCCAGCCGTGCCACACCTCTTGGCATAGGGGAGGCGATTGGGGCTGGAGGGGGTGGGTAAGAGATGAATCAGACATGGGCCTGCCCATGGGGAAAGCAGAGCACAGGGAGACTACAAACAGAGGCTCTAAAACAGAATAAAATGAACTCTCTGAGATGTGGGCGGCAGCGTGGTACAGGGAGAAAAGTGGAGGCAGCAAGATTCAGACAGACCTGGGCTCTGACCCTGCCACTGCCACTTACCAGCTGGGACATTGTGTGATGTAAAATGAGCAAGAGTTACAATAGCTGACAGACATGTGGCATTTCCTTGGCCAAGCGCCGGTCCGGGTGCTTTCTGTCTGTTAATTTGTTTCCTTCACAATCCTTGATTTAGAAACAACCATATCCCCTTTTTACAGATCTGGAAATGAAGGCACAAAGTTAAATTCTTTCTCAGGGTCATGCAGTTAGTGGCTGGGAGAGCTGAATTCGAACTCGGGCAGGGCAGTTGCTCGCTTTCGTGATGCTGTGTCTGTGGGACCAGCACAGTGCCTGACGCCAGAGCAAGGCCCCTTATTATAAGCAGCTCTATGACTCGAACCGTTCACGACAGACAAGGGTGACATATGCTTGCGTATCACGGTCCATCATCAGCGTCACTCGTTCTCCCTCTTCCTGGCAGGTTTGGGCATGTGAGCGTGGCACACCTCCTTTTGGAGCACGGAGCTGATGTCAATGCCCAGAACCGGCTGGGGGCCAGTGTGCTCTCAGTGGCCTCTCGGGGTGGCCATCTGGGTGTGGTGAAGCTGCTTCTGGAAGCTGGAGCCTTCGTGGACCATCCCAACCTCTCAGGCGAGCAGCCAGGGACAGCGAGCAGCAGGGACGAGCTGCTGGACATCACAGCCCTGATGGCCGCCATCCAGCACGGGCACGAGGCCGTGGTGCGTCTGCTGATGGAGTGGGGCGCGAACCCCAACCACATGGCCCGGACTGTGGGCTGGAGCCCGCTGATGCTGGCGGCTCTCACTGGGAGGCTCGGCGTGGCCCAGCAGCTGGTAGAGAAGGGAGCCAACCCTGACCACCTCAGTGTGCTGGAGAAGACTGCCTTCGAGGTTGCGCTGGACCGCAGACATAGGGACCTTGCAGACTACCTGGACCCGCTGACCACCGTGAGGCCCAAGACAGGTCAGGCGCGTCACCACCCGCCCCCTTTCCTACTGTGTCTTCACGGAGGACCCTGGGTTGTATTTAAGTGGCTTGGGTAGAGGATTGCCCAATTCTCAGGGCACACGGAGATCAGAGTGCAGTCCTGCAGAGCAGTGGGCCTTGAGACTCAGTAGGGCGTACCTGCTGGTGCAGGTTCCTGGCCCACCCGAGTCTGATCCAGAAGCTCCGGAAAGAACTCGGACCCCTGTGTAGCAGGGACCCTCCTCCTGAGCCAGATGATGCAGAGGCAGGTGCTTCCAGGATGCCCTTAGAATAATGGTTGGCAAATGTTTTCTGTAAAGGGCCAGATGATCAGTAATTGAGGCCTTGTGGGTCCTGCCATCTCTGTCAGAACTACTCATCTCTGCTGGGGGAGAGCAGCCGAGTGTGTTCCGGGTGGTGGCGGTGACGAGAACAGGCAGGGAGCAGACTGGCCCGTGGTCTGTAGTGTGCCACCTCTGCTCTAGAGTAACGTGCCTAGCCTCTTCTGCCAGTGGCCAGTCCCCAAGACTCATTCACCTGACATTAATGAGAACTAGCCCCCTTTTGACTTTTGGATTGTTTTTAAGTACCTGCTAAGTGTGTCCTGTTTCTTTTTGCCATTTCCCGGTGTTTAAAGGAGTATCTAACTGTCCTTACCGCAGTAGGACCATGAGCTGCAGTGTCACACCTAGCCTCCCCGCCCTCTGTAATGGGCCTGACTTCAGGGACAGGGCCGAGACAGTCCAGGGCAGCACTAGGCCACAGCATGTAAGCATCCATGGTTGGAAGGTAAGAGGTGAGAGTCTTCAGACGAATGGGCTAAAAAGACCTAACAGCGTGGAGAAGCTTGGTACTGCCCAAGCAGTGAATGTATACCGTAGTCTCGTCAGACATGGGTGATAAAAATGGCATAAATGCTGACTAGCAATACATAATCCAATCAGAACAACTCTGAGGTAAAATAAATATGTTTAGAGATGCTTATAATGGCAGAGATGGCAGAGATGAAGAGGACACATTCTCAGGAAGGAGGACAGCTAGGGAAACCTGTCTGAAGCCCTGAGTCCTCATCCTTTGTACAGTTTGGGAAACTGAGGCCCAAAGAGGGAGACAGAGTGGCGATACTCAGAAGGCAAGAGATTGTGGGGTAGCCCCTTGACGTACTGCTGCCCACCTGCAGGCTTTGTCGGGGTGACCTGGGCCACACCTTCACCTCATCTGTAAAACAGGCTGAACAATGACAACACGGTGGTCGTGAGGAGGGACGGGTTGCCTTCCACTTCGTGAGGCACTGGGTCCAATCGCCAGTAGAATGCTGGGGCCTCATTAAGGGTCACAATTTGTTTTTAAAGAATTACTTAATTTTATTTGTTCATTCATTTATTTTAATTTGACCAGAAAGAGACACAGAGAGAGAAAGAGAGGGAATGTGAAAAAGCAAGCCACCAGGTCCAGGACTCAAACCATGGCTGGCCATGTCAGTGTCCAGCACCTTAACCACCACGCCACCCGCTGGTCCCCAAGAGTCACAACTCTTAATAGAAATTAGTACTCTGGGGCTCCTGGTACAGAGGCTGTCCCCCCCACCCCCTTTTTCTTTGACAGATAGGGCATGTGCACTCAACAAAGAGACAAAAAAAACCAAAAAACAAAAAAAATCACTCCCCAGGGGGCATGGCCTTGGATAGGGCATGTGCACTCAACAAAGAGACAGAAAAAACAAAAAACAAAAAATATCACTCCCCAGGGGGCATGGCCTTACAGTCCCTTCTACTTTCTCTCTAGGGATTTTGAGCATGCACACACACATGCCTGGGGTGAGTTTTAAGCCACCGGGTCCAGGATTCAAACTGCAGTCAACTACGTGAGAGTCCAGTGATGTAACCACCACACCATCTGCTGGTCCCCGTATGGAGTTTTTCATGTTGGCATGAGGTTTTTCTTTTCTTTGAAGGTGTAGATTGGTTTATTTTCGTGGCTGTGACAGGAAAGGTCCTGCCCTTCTAGCTCTTGCTGTGCCCAGCATACCTCCCAGTGTGGAATCTCCCCATCGCAGGGATCCTCCCGAGAGGGAGTTCACCCATTTTGCTGTGGACAGTGAGACCCAGATCCTTGCCCTCAAGGTCTTTGGCCTTTATCAGGAAGGCCAAACAAGCAGACATATTAAATAAAAGTAAATCTTAAATGCATTAATCAAATTACGTAATAGGGTAGGTAGCGGGGCCACAGGGTTATTTGGGCAAGGTAAAGGATCGGGTGTGCAGGGTCGAAACGGACAGTGGGTGGTCTCTGTGATGAGGTGAGAGTTCAGCAGATGGGCAGGAAACGAAGTGTGCCAGGCATGTGGCTCTCAGGGAGGGGCCCGGAAGGGCCACAGCAAGAGCAAAGGCTGTTACCGACAGTGACAAAGATTCACATCAATAACTCAGTAGCCCTAGGTCTTCCTGTGAGGTGCCAGGAAATCTGCCCCTGCTGGGAACTTGGACCCTCCACTCCGCAGCAGTAAGGGAACCCTTGAAGCTGTCACTGTCCTGCAGTGCTCCAGCTCCCCCACTCCCCTCCATGGTTGTGTGGAGGTTGGAGCAGGGTTTTTTTTCCTCCTTCTGGGTGGTGGGTGGGGGAGTGCAGGGCCCTTGGGGCTGCTGTGATATAAGTGAAAAAGCTGAAGGCCAGAGTGAGGACAGGACCCACCCAGGTCGCTCAGCATCAGGGCACAGCTGCCCAGCCTGCAGGGTCAGACTGGACTGTGGGTGATGAATTTGTACCAGATGGTGGCATAGCCGCCTACATAAGGCCAGCTGAGGCCCTCAGACCCTGCCTGTCAGCAGTCTGGGCATGAGAAGGCCCCTGGCCCACAGCAAAATTTGGCTCTTACATTTTTAAAGCTACCCAACATATTTTTAAAAATTAAGATGCAGAATTATCTCTTGACAGAATTCTTGTTTTCAAGTTAAAGAACGTTTTTTTTTTTTTATATAAAAAAAATTTACTGGGGCCAGCAGATGGCTTAATGGTTACGTCACTGGACTCCCATGTAGTAGACCGTAGTTCGAATCCCAGACCTGGTAGCTTAAACTCAGGCTGGATATGCGTTGTGCCTGCCCAAAATCCTGAGAGGAGCATGGAGGAGGGATTGCAGTCTTACCCCGCCCCCTCGGGGTGATTTCTCACTTTCTATCTTTTTCTGTCTCTCTGGCAAGTGCACGTACCCTATGGCAAAAATCTCTCTTAAAAAATGTACTTATTCATTATAATAATTATTTTTAAGTTTCCTATAAGACACATGTGCTCATCAGAGTGAGACAGAGAGAGTGAAAGCAAGCTACCAGGTCAGGGACTTGAACCACTGTCGGTCATGTGGGAGTGCAGTGCCTTAACCACCACACCATCTGCTGGTTCCCTTTTCACAGGCAGAATTAGTCACTGGGTTTCAGGCTGTGTCTACTTTCCATTAAGAATTCTTGAGTTAATTATTAAGTCCTCAAGAAAGTCAGGCGTATTTTTCTGTGCAGAAGTGCTGAGGTCCCCACGTTAGTGATGAGGAAGCAGCACATCTTGGGAAAGTGCACTCCAGTTCAGATAGCACTCCAGACTCAGTGTTCCTTGCCCTCTCAGCTGCCTGTGAGGCTAATCTGGACCAGAGGGCCAGCCTTACAGGTGTCCTCTTGCAACTGCTCCATCTGCTGGGATTGGTTAAGGAAGTCCTTCCTTCAGCTCACAGCATATCGGCCGACCATCAGGATGCCTGCCCTTCGCCAGGAGCAGGGTACCCACTGGTCTAAGCAGTATCCCGTCCCACTGGGATAAACACGTGGGAGAGGGGCTGGCTTGTGCTGACTGGGAGCAGCCAGGCTTGGCTGTGGGGATAGGTGTGAGTCCTGGCACCAGCAGGGAGCTTTATTTGCACGTCTGGGACAGGGAAGTATATTCATATTGCTTCTTATTTGGGAAGGAAGTCAAAAATTAACATTGGCAGAGCCTGCAGGTGACTTGGTGGTTGGATTGCTGGTCTTCCACATGGCCAATTATGGTTCAAGTCCTGGAACTTGCATCTTGCTTTCTCACTTTCTCTCTGTGTGTGTGTGTGTCTTTGATGAGCATAGCAAGTTAAAAAAAAAAGTCATGTTAGCCAGTGGTGTGATAGTTAAGGTATTTGACACTCCCACATGGCCGACCGCAGTTCAAGTCCCAGACCTGGTGACTTGCTTTCTCATTTTCCCTCTCTCTCTATGTCTCTCTCTGGTCAAATGAACATAAATGAATAAATAAAATTAAATAATAATTCTTTAAAAGCAAACGGTAACTGAATGTTTAAAACATTAACATTGGGTCTCCTGGTGACTGTGTCCGTGACCTTCCTATGGGATCAGCTGCTCAGTGTCTCAGGGTCCCTGCTTTGGAATTGTCTCACATCATACATTTTGTTTTTGCTCGGGAAGAACCGTCATTTCCTCTTAAATTTCCCCCAGAAATCTGGGCTTTTATAGGAGCACACTTTTCACGATGTTTAAGAAAGGACACCCCAAGGTTTAGAATGCCCCAAAACAGGTGCGCTAGTTGTTTGGGATCAGGCTGGTGACGTGCCTCTCACATGGGTTTTGTTGGCCAAATGACCTCCCATCATGTGTTTCTGAAGCGTTTTCAGACACTTCTAGGTAATAACCCTTTGAGAAGGTTGCTGGGTTCACCCGTTAATACCGGCATTCATCCGTTATCCTCGGCTTCATCTGGATTGCTTTCGAGAAGTAGGTCCTTTTCGAGGCTGTGCTGTATTGTGAGGTCCCGTGACTCTTCTGTTCCGTTAAACCTCTCCGTCGTTAACTTTCAAAATCTTTGTTTACGCAGATGAGGAGAAAAGGCGACCTGATATTTTCCATGCATTGAAAATGGGTAAGTGCTTTAGAAAATCTTTTTGGATGTTTAAGACTAAAGGACCCTTTTTTTCCATCCTGATATTTGAAGTCCTTCCCAAGGCCACCGGAGTATTTGAGAAACAGGCATTTTGTTATTTCCTGACTGTCCAATTTCTCCCACGGCAGTTCACCCCTGGAGGCTGGTATTTACCATGGTGCTGTACACACAGATCCCAGACCGCCTTCCCAGGCCCGTCCTCCCTCCAGCCTGCTATTGTGGCTGTCTGTTTTTCCCTACCCCCGAAATGCCTCTCTGTGCACCCACCCTCTCCAAACTCCTTGTAACAAAGGGCTATTTTAGCCTCCAGTTTCCTCTGGATATAGACTCTGCCTCCAAGAAGCCCTCCTTGATCCTCACCCCTAGCAAGACCTGAACTCTCCTGCATGCCCATTGCCTTTCATCTGTTCACTTAAGAAACTAACAGCATTTCTGTCTCTTAACTAGCACTTCTATCCGTTTGTATGCTTGTTCCTGTCCCATGCGGACTGCACTTTGAGAGTAGGACTCAGTCCCTCTGATGCCTAGCAGCCCATGGCCGAAGTGGAGTCTCAGCTGGTGTTCGTTATGTGACCTAACTGAATAAATAAACCCTGGTGCCGGATGTGTAGGTCACCTGGGCTCCCGCTTGTGTTCACAGGAAACTTCCAGTTGGTCAAAGAGATTGCTGACGAAGACCCCAACCACGTGAACCTGGTCAATGGGGACGGGGCGACCCCTCTGATGCTGGCAGCTGTCACGGGGCAGCTGCCTCTGGTGCAGCTGCTGGTGGAGAGGCACGCTGACGTCGACAAGCAGGACAGCGTGCACGGCTGGACGGCCCTCATGCAGGCCACCTACCACGGGTCAGTGCCACTCCTCTGCCTCAGTGAGGACGAGGAGCAGATGCTCTGAGCTGGGGCTGTGAAGACAGTGAGGCATGATGGTGAGAGCCACACAGGCTCCTCTTCCTATTTTATTCTGCATACCCACCCTCTGTGCCCTGGTGTCCTGTCACCCCTCACATTTCCACCAGTGGCCAGCACTTTTTTTGGAGAGGTTTTTGCTATAGGGCGTGTGTGCTTGCCAGAAAGACAGAGAGACAGCGAGAAATCACCCCCCAAGGGGGATGGCCATGCCGCAATCCCTTCTCCATTCTCCTCTTGGGATCCTGGACACGCCCGCACATGTGCCCGGATTGAGTTTAAGCCACCAGGTCTGGGACTCGAACCGCGGTCGACTATGTGGGAGTCCAGCGACATAGCCATTGCGCTAACTGCTGGTCTCATGGAATGTTTAATACAGAAAGATAAGTTTCTGTAGGCCGGTTCCAATTGAATAAAGTGAGGGGTCTATTTGGAACTTTCCCATCGAGATAGAAAGACGTCCTCGAGCTGCCCCTACATGGAATGATCGTCGGCCGTTCGTAGCATCATCTTCTTAGGACGTTTGTTGGAGAGACTCCCCCTTACTCTCTCCTTTTGAAAATGCCTTCAGCATTCGCTGTGTGCTTATGAATCACTTCTCACTTGATCATTCCAGCAGGGTGGGGCCGTCACCCTCCTGGAGGCTTCCTCTCTGGGTTAGGCATCTTACTGCGACCAGGCTCTGACTCCAGATTAGGGGCTCTTTCCGTGACCTGCTTCAGGTGATCATATCACTTTGAGTCATCGGGGAACAGTTTGTTTTACTTGCTGGGTCTCAGACTTCCATACCAACATCTGGTCTGTATGAGGCTTTCCCAGCAGAAGGGCAGGGATCA